TGTTTTATTGCACACTGGGATGCAAATAAGGCATATAAGAATATTTTGAAATTGGTGTGGGGTTTTTTCCCCTCTACACTTAAATACTATGACAGAATCAATTTTTATTAAAAAAAACAAAACAAAACAAACCAAACCAAAACAAACCCAGAACTCCTTCCCGTTTACCAAAACAGAACATACTACATCTATTTGGGTAGAATATTAAGTTTCTTTTTGGATAGTTACATAATAATTAGCTAAAATTCTGTAAGAATTCTTTAAGAAGTGCTTTGAAGTGCCATTTGGTTACAACACGATTAGGAATTTTTAGTTTAGTCTTAGGAAGAAAAAGAATAAAAGTTGCTGTTAATTTTATAAACGTTCAGTTAATTCTCACTACTACCATCTTTCCATTTTCCTCCATCCATTTTTATTATTTACTCACTGTAGTTTGTCATATGTTACTGTTACAGGAGATCCTTTGAGTCATTCTCTCTTCTCTCCAACTACATGCATGTAAACAGTGCTTATCGCAATAAGGGTTATATGCTACTGTAAAAAAAGCAGGGAAAATAAAAAATGTGTCTTTGGAAATTCTGACTTGAGTCCTGTAGTATGAAAGCTGCAATTTTACAGACAATATACATATAAAATACATATCGCGCATGATATTGGGAGTATAAAGTTGCTGCAGTACTAGTAGATAATTCATAGACTCTGCTCATAATCATTAATCTCTATAAAAGTTAAATTTTCTTAGTATTTTATGTGTATACATTTTTAATAGCTACACCATTATTTATTGCAGAAAGCCTTTCCTTGAAAGAAGTGGCAGAACACTTAAATAAAGAGACTTTAAAAAGGCTAAAGAGTGAATATGGAGGCCTTCAGACACTACTCAAGAACAATCATCAAGTATTTGAAGGTAAAGAAGGGGTTTTGTTTTTTTGTTTTGTTTTTCTTTAATCACCTATTTTATCTCCTCTATATGCAGTTAAACTCAACTGAAAAATTACTATGGTTGTGGGGGTTTTTAACTGCTTTCTATACCTTTGTGGAAAACTGAATATTCTTTATATGCCCATTGCTCCAAGGTACTGTTAGTAAAACTCTCTTGAATGAGATTGGTAAGGCATCTATCAGCAAAGTGGTGTTCTAGACCGATTGTATCTGAAAAGACAACCCTTTAACTAAAGTGGCTAATTTAATGCTCTACTTGAGAATTTTTATTTTTCTATAAAGTACTGACGTTTTGGGGGCCATCAGATGCAGAGCAAGTTCACTAAAGCATTTAACTGAGATTTAGTCTGGCCTTACCAAGCCCCACAGTGTAAGTGCCAACACAAAATAAAACTAGATTCCATAAGAACATCTAACTGTGAGGCTTGATGAGTTCGTGTAGCATGTGGTAGCATGGTGGAAGGAACTCAGTAGCAAGTTTCTGTGGTTGGCTGGGTTTGTTGATAGCTGTTTTTTGTTTTGTTTTTTTTTTTTTTCCCTGTTGTAATGTGGTGGTGGTGTGTTTTGTTTGGTTGGGTTTTTTGGTGGTGTGGGTTTTTTTTGTTAGTGTGGAGTTTTGCAAAAGTAAGGTCTAGCTTTGCAGTAATGCAAGATCTTCAAGGTTTTATCAGAATTTAAGGCTACTTCAGATTTGGAAGTATGTTCTTGTGTCCCAGCAATTTACATCTGCTGTAAAATGTTGATCAACTAATCCATGGCAAATCATCCTGAGTATGCAACCTAGTTGCTGCCAGTGGTTAACTTAGCCAAGTTAACCAAGCCTATCCACTAAGGATTTTTGTATGCCTGGCAATTATAAAATGTGAAGCCATACTGAAATCCTTTTGAATTACCATCCATTGAAAAGAGTTGGTCACATTGCATTCATTATGTGTCTGAATGTGATTCCCTGTCATTAGGGATAGGTGGAATAGATTTGCAACCTGCTACATGGAATGAATATTTTAATTTGGCATGGATGCTGTCTGCACATTACCTCTGAAGAAAGACTAGGATTAAGGCCAAATCTTTCTCAGTAATTTACATCACATGGAAAGTCCCTGGAGCTTCAGTAGAGACCATTTGATTCTTTCCTTCAGTAGCATGTCACCATAACAAGGGACTTTTACCAGCGGGTGGTCTGGAAGGACATTGCTCACGCCAAAGAGGACAGAGAAGAACATGGCTACAGCTCTTTTGTCATCTTTGCTCAAGTGTTTTTCTTTTAAAGACATGGAAAATGGATTGATGCGCGCGCGCACGCACACGAAAAAGAAGGGGCTTAGAGTAACTGATCTGTGGCAGTTTCTTTCGATCAGGCATCTTGTCCAATACAGGACTGATCTTCTAGGAAAAAAATACGCTTGATCATAAATAGCACTATATCTGCTCATTTTTCTTCATCTTTTGAGAGAGATTATAAAGCTCTGCTGAGCCCACTTCTGGATTGGCTTTGTATGAGTCCAGATCTATTTGTGTATCACAAGGAAACCTGAAGGGATGAATTCATCCAGGCCTGAATGTGTGATGTTAAGCTTTCACTGGAGTCATTACCTTTTGAACAGTGATTATCAAAATGCAGAATGGTATTGGTTAACTATGCCGAGCTGCAAGTGTGTGATACAGAAGGTATGATTGAAGCAGAATATGAAAATAGAGCATGGCAACTTAGAAGTAGCAGATTCTTCCCTCCTCATTTTCACTGTTGCTTTTTCATTTACATTGTTTCTTTCTCTCTTACTGAATTCCTTTTATTCTGTTTTGCTTACACATTTAAGGAGTTGACAGAAGTTCACAAACGTGTGTGTGCAGTTTATGGTCCTAACACAGCAAATGAATTTTAAAAAAAGTGCCGAATCTCTATTAACCAGTAATAATTCACTGTTGATTCATGTGAAGGATTAGACTTGTCATCTCTTTGGTGCATTGTATTTTTGGGTCAGTGAACCATTGTCTTTGCAAGAACATTTCTGTGTAGTGAAAGTAGTAGAAGACTCTTACTAGATTTTTGCTGGTAATCACATTTTAAATGTGGAGTAATAAAGTTTTGAATGCGGGAAGGATTACAGTTCTTGAAGTTGAAACTTCTTTGTCAGTTCTTGCAATCTAAATTTAGAGGATTTTTGTCTCAATGATCCTAACTGCTGTATTTAAAACAAACAAACAAACCTCTACAAAGATGATACAAAGGTGCCTCGAACTATTAAGCATCACAGTAAAACATCTCACAGGGAAATCAATCAATTCTTCTTTAGACCGTGTCTGTATTATCTTGGTTTGTTCTGCACTTCTTTCTATTTCTGTACAAATGGCACGTTTGGTTTTGCCTGAGTGATCCATTTGTGGAATATATGTTTTATTCACAGAATGTCACTATGCATTTGTTCCAGTAAAATTCCCATGGCTGTCTATTAACAGCTGCATTGTTGTTTGTTTTTAAATCTTAGTTCTAAATGGGAGAGTTCATATTCGTGACTGGAGAAAAGAGAAACCATCAAGGAAAACTAAGCCTGAAGTGAAACGCCGCCTTTCAGCTGAAGCATTTAAAACACGTCTTTGTTGGTTTTTCATTCATCATCCTGATGGCTGTTCTTTGCCTTCTGAATCTTGCCCATATGCTCATGGGACTGAGGAGCTAAGACAGTCTCAGATTATTAAAAAGAAAAAACATATACAGTAATAAAATGCTGCCACTTATGTTTAAGCTTGTGTACATAACTGAATCTATGATTGACTTTGGGACTGCCTAGTGCATGAAGATCAGTACAATATGGAGGGGTTTTCCCCATTCCTATGCATCTTATTTTCCAGTTGGTTTACAAGTTCTCCTGTATTTTTAATTCTTTAAATTTTTTTATTAACTTGGAAAAGGTATAGTAAAATATACTTTTGGATTTTGTCATGGCTTGTCTAACATGCATTTATGTAAGTAGAAAAGTTTAAAAACTTGATTTCCTAGGACACTCGTCATGATCCTCTTCACCAAAAGGGTTATCAAGCACTGGAACAGGCTGCCCAGGGAAGTGGTGGAGTCACCATCCCTGGAGGTATTTAAAAGATGTGTAGACATGGTGCTTAGGGACATGGTTTAGTGGTGGACTTGGCAGTGTTAGGTTAATGGTTGGACTCGATGATCTTAAAGGTTTTTTCCAACCTAAACGATTCTATGATTCTGTGAACTTAGCAGAAATCTTAATTATTACTCAGTGACAGTCATTGAAGTAGTATCATAATTCATATCTGTCAACTGCTAAGTACTTGCAAAGTTCAGTATCTGCTGTATAAGACAAGGAATTGTGTTGGTTCTGGCCTACCTTGTATACTGACAGTGTGGAAACTCTGCTCTGATCCACTGGAGACAAGACTTGGATTCCAAATCCTACTGAAGAAGGGGCAAGGTTTAAAAAAAAATTGTTATTAAAGAAATGTGAAGGTGAGAGCAATGATATAGAAACTGATTGCAGGATAAAGAGGTCTATGGGTAAGAGTGAATAAGCCATGTGAGATCTCTTTAAGAGCTCAGGGAATCTGAAGAACAAAGGAAGGAAATAATTGAAGACAAAGCAGAGGAAAAATGAAAGATGACGCTGGAAACACTTTTCAAACCAGTTCCAAAGTCACTTTTTTCACACCCTAACTTTAAGCCAACAGGTTGCAATCCATTGCATGCAGAAGAAGCAGGGTCTAAATCTGCTGACAGGATGGGATCAAAGAACTGACTGAAGTGTTGTATGTTCCCCCTTCTCCCTTTACATTTCTCTTCTGATCCTGGAAGAAGCAGCTCTTGCTAGATAACAATGACCCTGATAATTGCAGCAGCGCCTTACTTATGGATAACATACCACATTATCCAGTATGCCACATAGTGCAGCTACCTGGCCTATCTCTAACAGGAGCTGTGGTGGACTCTGAGCCTTCCCCCATGGCTCTGGTCTGCAGTCTTGTATACCACATCCTGAATTCAGCACTAATCAGTGCTGTGTTACAGTCATTATAGATTTTACACATATTAAAAAGAAGAGATACCCTCAGGTGAATCCCATTCTAAGGGGCAAGTTGGATGTAGTTCAGTTAAGGTTATTGGACTATGGGAAAGAATAGTATAAGCCAGGTAAACTGCAACTTCTACGAAGCACGGCAGCACAGTAAGGGAACACAGTTGATGGTGTAGTTACTGTTGTAAGAATCTCAGAAAAATATTTAGCTTGTTGAGGGGACAAGAGTTGAGAAAAGCCATGGAATTGTATAAACTTGCATGTAATCAAGTGATGATGTTGCCTTAGTTAGCCTTTGTTTGGCTACGTGCAGCGTAAGAAGAGTTCTACAAGATGCTTATTTACTGTGGTAAATGTACTGTTTGATGAGGGGGAGGCCCCTCTAAAATTAAGTTCATGCTATCTTCAGATGGAGATTGTTTCCAGATGGTGCAAAGAGCAAAAACAGACTTCCAATTCTTTTCCAGTTATCGGTGTCTTCCCTAATGATTCACCTTGGGGTAGGATGTGTTTGACTTGAAATAGGTGATTTCCTGAGTTAGAGTTCACCTGTGGAGTCCCTGAGATGGGCTTGCGGGAAGTCAGGGTTAAGAAGCTGGAAGAAGGTTCGTTGTATTTTGGTTTGGTTTTTTTTCCTTCTTTCCAATAAATGTGGAATTAAATACCTGCTTGACTCATTGAAGTCACAAATATACATGGTAAGATTAGTGAATTAGTTTTAAAACTACCTTTTTTATTATTTGTGCAATGCTATGATAACTAGCATAGCATACTGTATTACTGTAGTACACCGCCTCCTTTGTGTAGTCTTTGTTTCTGAACTCACCAGCATGCAGATCTGTCACAGATGCGTGATGGCTGTTCCCCTTCCTGTTTGGCATCACTGCAGGTGGCAAGCCAGCCAGCAAATCTCCTGTAATTACAGAAACTTCCCTGTTGTTTGGAAAAGTGGTGAGAGAATATTTTTGCATACAAATGCCAGCCTTATATAATTCTGCATTTAAACGTGAAGGTAATTGCTGAAGGTGTAAAAGAGCTCTACTTTATCTAAAATCTGTATCTTGTTGCTTTCTCTGTGATCCACAGTCTTAAAATGGCATTAATACAATATTCAGCTTTGGCAATGAAGTACTATACAGAGTAAGAATCAGTTTCGCTCTTGATAAAAAAGCCCTTGGTCCACAAGGGATTCAGGCATAAAGTCTCAATCATTCAGGCGACACTGTCATTTTACTCCTTAGTTTATTGGCATCACTACCCGTTAGTTAATTTGGCTTTATTTGAAGCTTATTTTATAGAGGGGGAAATACTCGCTATTGTAGGTACCTCACAAGAGTGAGAATATAAAGAGAAGTTAGATGTCAGGTTGCAATCAGAAACGCTGGGATCTAGAGGTTTTGTATTTCCATCTGTAGATGAGCCACAGTTTCATTAAGTCTATAGAAATATTCTAAATTAAATAAGAACAAAAAAATCTGTGTTTAAGTTCTCCCTTAAACCTCAGTAAAGGACTGAATTTTAGTTTTTCATCAGATCCCTGAAACTGAAAAAAACCTACAAGACAGTATTTTTACTTACGGAATATCTATATATAGCTTCAGAACAGCCTATTTTCTGGCACATTTCAAACCAGGAAAATTTTCTGTGTATGTATCATTTGGATTGTTTGTTTACAATATTACTGTCACTACTTCATGTTATAAATTATTAGCCCAGATTTAGAGCAATTCCTAGAGGAAGTCTTACAGCTTGTCTGACAGCAAATATAGGCCTCTAGGTATGCTTTGTAATAAAATTAGGCTGCTTTTTATGGATTTTGGGGCTTGTTTGTTCAGATTCAAAGCTTTAAATGATAATTAACTCTTTGTCTTCGGTGATCTTAGCATGTTTTTATGAGCTGGAATCTAGTTTTAGTTATATAAAGTAGGGAAGAGTAAGCAATCAATAGCTTTGGTTAGGGCATCATAATGGCAAATATTTCAGAATCAACAGAGATGAAATATAAAATCTGTAATGGTCCTGCCAAGTGATAGCTAAAACAAATATTGAGACAGGTGTCCACTAAAGTGTCTAAACATTTGGTATCAACTGAAGTCAGACATTATGATTTGTTATTGCTGGTAACTTCTATTTATATAACTGAAAGAGTATTTTCATACAAAAATGCAATTAATTGGGAATTCACCCAATGTGTAATGCTGGCTTGTTACCACAAGGAATACCTTTCACAGTCACCTTTTTCTGCTGTTGTATCGTGGTGGGCCTGTGAGTAGAATCTTAAGATTTTTCCTCCGGGGCGTTGGCGCATTTCCTCTTGCGGAAGCCCGTTTCATGACTGGGCTTTGCGTGTTGTGAGTAGTTTTTAGTGAACACTTTTATTTGGACCTGCTGAGTTTATGCGTTTTGTTTGTGTTATAACTTCATATTGTTCATATGTTCGTATTTATCAGGTAGAAATACGTAACTGCTTTAGTGCTCATTTACCATCTTCTTACAAGCGCTGCTTTAAGCCTCTTCTAACTGGGTGCTACTACAATGCTGCCAGATGAAATCTGCTTAGCTTAGCAATTGCAACCCAGCTCCTCTCATCCCTCTAAAATCTTATTATAACAGGTTTCAACAGCTCTAAATGGTTGAGTGTAGCTTTGGATTCCTTTGTGGCAGGAGCATCATGGCAAATCTTTGTTTAGGGATCAGTGGATCCATCTGCGTTAGTTTCTTGGTGAGCCACTGCGTGCTTTGCACAAAGCTGTGTATCCAGCCATCCCAGGTTTGTGGAGCTGTGCATGCCCAAGGGGCGGGAGTTGGCTGCTTGAAGCTGAGTGCACGTGCCATGGTTTGAAAACACCGTCATTCAAGCTGCCGGTCAGTCTTCTTGTCTGACAGCTAGCCAGACACACAAAATCAAAACAATCTTCTCCGGGAAAGCCTGCCCTGAATTTTGAATACTTTGGTGACTGTATCACTGTAGTAGCAATAAGGAATCTGTCCTCGCTGCTAATTGATATTATGAGTGGGGTGTACACAGAGATACAACAGCTGTGAAGTGAGAGTCTTTGCTGTGGATTGTAGGCTTCGTGTTAGTAGTTTTTAATCCAGTGAATAAACACGGAACTGAGAGAGGAAGGGAAAAAATGTTTGCCCTTTTCTCAGGTACAAAATATTGAGAGAGCAGAGAGTTTTCAAGTTGCCTGTCTTTTGCCAGTACATCACGCTTTTTTTGTTTTCTTTGAATGTGTAGCCTTCTCAGGGGCAATGCTTTTCCTCTGCAGCACCATGGTATCTTCACTGGCCTTTGGTGCATCATGAGGAAATCCATCCAGTACAGGCATTGCTATCCTTATCTCTGCTATTCTTTTCTGTAGAAATAATGATTTTGGGGTTTTTTCTATTTTATTTAATGTTTGTTTTGTCAGATTGTTTCAGAGACTTTAAATCCCATAGTGAACACATCACTTGTTAGCAATGATGTGATAATGCTGAGAACTTAAATGTTGACCTTTTCCATTGAGTTTAGCCCAGCAGTCATATGCTTTCTTGTATTTGGAATCTAAGCAGATAGAGAATGCTTTCAAGTGAGAGAAGTCTTCTGGTTTTTGAAAAGCTTTAATGATCAGGTACTTTTGCCCTTTCTTTTGTTGTTTTACTGGTATGTCTCATCATAGATGCTGATCTCACTTTTAACAGTAAAAAAAATGCCGAGAAACTTCATTAATGGCCTGTGGAAGTACCTCGGTGTGAGGGCAGAATCACTTGAGTCGGGTGTTTTCGTGTTACGGAATATACTGGTGCTGTGCTGCTTTCCAACATGGCCAGCAGGTGGGGAAAGTGAAAAAGCTGCAGAGAGGCAACACCAGCAGCAGCTGCATGTCCCCGGGTTCAGCGAGTCCTGGGGCCGC